CCTGCCCCTTCGCAACCCCAGCCCGCCCCCAGCGCGAGGAGAGAGGTGCTGCTGCAGGACTTAGGGAGGATCCTGACCTACAAACGGGTCCTCCACAGCTGCCCGGGGGCCTGGTTTGAGGACCCACACGGGCAAGGGGACACCAGTGGGAATGATGGCTCCTGCCTTGTCATCAGCTACAGCCCGGAGAGGCCAGCACCAGGGGGAAGCGCCTTGGACTGCCCACAGGGAGACACCCCCCCCCCCAGCCCCAAACTCCAGAGCCATCCTCACCTTTCCTGAGAGGCTGCTTGTGGTTGAAGGTCTGGGGCACCACGAGGAACTGGTTCTCCCCCAGGGGCTCCCAGAACTGGAGGAGGCGGATGGTCCAGACACCGGGGCGCAGGGGCCGATTGAGGGGGGGCTTGTACTGGGTGAACTCTGCCTCGGTATCCACCGTGATGTCGTAGGAGGCAGCAATGACGTAGGTGGGGTCGATCCACACCACCGTGGCTGTCAGGTTGGGGCCCCGTGACCACTTCTGCATGGCCACCGGCTCGTCGAAAGGCCCCATCAAGCCTCCAAAATTGCGGAAGAGCCTTTCCTTGGGGTCCCACTCCGTGCCCACCTGGAGGGACAGGAGGCACAAGCAGTGGGACGCTGGGCAGGGAGACACTATCAGCTCAGGTTTTGCATTTCACCTCCCCGAACCAGGGAAGGCAGAAGCTTCGGAGCCCAAAGCAACGCACACCCCACCCTCCACAGCCCTCCTGCCTGCCTGCACCATGCCAGCACTAACCCAGCTGTGTGATGCCTCCTGCCACTGTAGGCGCTGGGCGCCACAGCCTCGGCTCGCCCCTGAAAGATCCCCTTCGGGCCTTTTCCCCACCAATCAGCTCCACATCCCACACAGAAGCCAAACTCCCGGACAAAGGTTTGTTCTCAGACACAACAGCGGCACCGTGTCCCTCTGTCCCCACAGTGTGAGGGTGGGGGAGAGGAGGAAGGGCAGCGCGGTGTGGGAAAGCCAGGGAGGAAAGTGGGCGCTGTGAGGGAAAACTTTCCCCATTTACCTCGAGGTTTTGTAAGCGGTTCGCCTGCCCTCCGTGGCCCGCCAACTTCAGAGCTCCTTGGGGCATCATCCACACCTCCAGGGACTCTGCCTGCCCAGTTGCAGAATTCTGCACTTCCTGCATCACCAGGTAACCCTGGAAACGGTCGTCATAGAAATGTAAGTGCACACTGGATGGGAAGCCCTGGGGCTCAAATCTGGAGAGAGACAGACGGAGAGGTTGCACATCTGAGCATCAGCATCCTCCCAGCGTGAGATGCAGGCCACCACTCGGAGCCTGGCTCGAGCTGCGGCAAATACCCCACCTGCAGAGCTTGTCGGCCTTCACTGCCGGCGCGGCCGCGGCTTTGCGGAGCCCCAGCCTGGAGAAGGCTGTGTAGAAGGTGAGGGTGACGTCGCTGAGGCCGCTGAGCCCGTCGACGCGGTCGTAGACGTTCTCCCAGTACGCCTTCAGGGCCGGCGTGTTGGGGGGGTAGCTGCCGTAGAGGTGCGTGTCCAGGATCTCCAGCACCTCCTGATTCACCGTCGACTCAAACTTGCGGGCGAAGAAGGTGGGTCTGGAGAGTTGCTGGAAGAGCACAGGCATTTCTAACAGCGTTGGCTGCAGCCCCTCTGCCCTCCCACCTGAGCAGGGCAGCTGGGAGGGAGACAGACTGGGAAGAAACATGCTGGGACCCATCCTGCCCCCTTCGAGGGCACAGGCTAAGGAGCAGGAAAGCACAGCCAGCCTCTACGTGGGATCCTCTATGGCAGGATCGGCAGGAGCATACATTGCTTACAGGCAATACACATGGGTTCCCATCTCTCCCACTGCCTCCCCCTTTCCGTGCTCAGAAGCAGCCATGTGTCATCTAGCTCCTTTGCTGCAATCTCTATATTCAGATGGGCCCCCACCCTGCAGAGCCGCTGCGGAGCCCTGCACGAGGCCTGGCCACGTGGCACAGCTTGGAGGATCTGGGCCCTGCACCACACAAGCCCAGGACTCCTCGAAAATCCCGCTAACTTCTCTTTTCAGGGCTGGGTGTATCTCCCCCAAACGTCCCTTGTTCAGTCTACGTCTCTACTCGCTGAGAGCGTGGGAGACAGGTCATCACAAGGTGTTTTGTCCTGCCAACGAGGACAGCACTCTGGAGTGGTTTTACTGAAAAGGTATTTGCCCCAGGTGACAGGTCTTCAAGCAGGAAAATGGGAGAGAGGGTCTGGGAAGAGGAGCAGCATTGCAAGCAAAAGCCTGGCTGCTGGGCAGAACAGTCAGCGTAATCCCGCTGCCCAAGCAGTTACAGACACGTCTGTGCCGAGCCCCACGGCAGCTGGGGAGCCAATCCTGCTCCTGTCCCTTGCGGGGCTGGGGTGAGGCTCATGCGGGTGTGCACAGCAACTGGCATTGCACCCAGGGGTGCGCCCACAAGGGAGAGAGACGGGGCGGAGGGGAAAGAGCAGGAGGAGAAAGGAGGATCTTTTTCACCTGTAGCCGGAGGAAGTCCTGGGGTTTGAAGTCATTTGGGGAGCACCCGCACCAGTCGACTATGTGTTTATATTGGCACTTACAGCCCAACTTCCGGTTCCAGTTGGTCACTCGGAGGTTGTTGTCGACCAGCGTCTCGCAGGCGTGACTGTTCTCCAGGACCGTGTGGAAGAAGGACTGTGCACGGCAGAGAAGGGACAGGAGACCCAGTGGGGATGGTTAGAGGAGACCTCCCACCCCTCACTCACAGAGGAACAGGACAGGCCTCCACAGCTCCCGAACAGAAACCCATCCCTGTTCCCAGCACAGGGCAACGCGTAAGAGACGAGGCTGTGCGCCCACGTCAGCCCTTATCCGGCCCAGAGGGGCGTCTGGACCTAAAGCAAGGCTGGATATAAACATGACCCTTGGCCCGTCTGCTCCTCTCTCCCCTCTTTCATACCCAGGTCTGGGCAAAAGGGAGGCAGAAAGCTGCCTGCGCAAAGCAGTGCCCTTTGCGGGTACCCAGGGCGGGGATGAAGTGGGACAGAGATGATAAGCACAGCGGTAAGAAAATCCAGCCCGTGCCCTGCCGCCAGCACCCACCTCGGCTGGCAGGAGCGTGTAGGTGTAGAACTGGCGCAGCTGGGACACCAGCTGGTCGTCGGCGTAGACCACGTACTCCACGAAGCTGCGCGTCAGCGAGAACCAGTCGGAGCCACCGTCCTCGGGGATGTGGCGCTCGCCCAGCCGCCACATGTGGGAGTCACACTCGTGGAACAGGCGGTCCAGGCCCTGCTTCTTGATAAACCTGGGCACAGGGACAAGGATGAGGGGTTAGGGGCGTCACCCACTTTGCTGGGTACAGCTACATCCAGAACATCCCCCCCGCCCCAACTGTTTCAGTTCTTTTCTGAAATCCCTCCTTTTTCTGTTCCTCCAGCTCAGCTCTGCCTCTAGCTGGGATTACCTGGCATTGTCTCGGCCATGAGACTTCAGGAAGTTCTTATCTCGGTATTTGGACAGGAACATCACCAGCTCCTCATTGGTCCTGAGGTGCAAATTAGAAAGCATTAACGGCCCCTGGGGTAAAGCAGCCCAGTAAACATTCACTCTGCAAGAGCCACCAGACAAAAAGAGCCCAAGGCTGCTTGGTAGGTGCTGACTCAGTCCTTGGTCCCATCGCTGGGGAGATACAGACGTGGCTCCTCTGCTGTCCGGCACCTCAAACGTGCGTTCCCCTGCAACACCCAGACCACAGGAAAAAACAGCCTCTGAGGTACTGGCTGGGCTCCTCTGCAGAGACGGGACTAGCCTGGCCCTGGAGCATCTTCACCAGCACGTGGGTGCAATCTCCAACCCCATCTTCCCTCAGCTCCCTGCTCCTCCCTGCCCCTCCCAAGGCTGCTGCAGCATCACGCAGCCCGAACACCTCCATCATCCTCCCCTGCCCCAGCAAGGTCCTCACCTCGTGGGGTAGTCAGTGGCGCTCAGGTTGATGAAAAAGTCCCAGGGCCACTCGGCCAGTTCCAGCAGGTCCTTCATGCTACGCAGGTACATCTTCAGCAGGCTGGCACCTCCCCAGATGGTCACCATGCGCCAGGGCGTCACGCGGATGTTGGGGTAGTGCCGGGCCAGCTCCACCGCCTCGTGATGGAGGTAGTTGGAGCGCTGCCGGGGAACACGGCTCACGGGCATCACTTTAGGAGGAATACGAGGGCCTGCTGCCTGGGGTCAGCCCTTACGGCAGCCTCCACAGGGAGGAGAGCAGCAAGACAAGACTGCTCTGGGCAGGAGGGATAGATCCTGCTTCCCCGGGGTTGCAGAAATAGGGGTGGGAGGGTCACAGCAACACCGGCAGCAAGGACAAACCCTACCCAGCCACCTCCTCTGGCACAGCAGATGCTGTGCCTCCACTCACCGCCCACCCGCGCCCCAGGTCTGCGCCCTGTCCCAGTGACCGATCCGGGCACTCTTAGCATCTCCCTTCCCCTCATCCCTCCTGCATACCTTGTCGACGTGGATGTAGAAGAAGTGCTCCTGGTGGTACACGGCCTTGATGAGCCGCTTCAGCTGGCGAATGGCCCTGCCGTGCACAACCAGCATGTAGGCGATGCGCACGGGCTTGCTCGGGGCCGCCTGCGGCAGCCGGCTCTCG